CTTCCAGTCCATTCCAGTCTTCAGCCCCTCATCTCATTCCTCAGCTCTCCACTTCCACGCTGGGCTCCAGACAGAGACTTCCGTCATGCGAGGCACAGCTGGACTCATCACTCTCCCCAAACCACCCCTTCCTCCGGCTTCACTTCGATCAATACCTCCATCATCAACCCTTCTTCTGCGAGACATCCCTGGCCCCTCCTCTCCCTCACGCCTCACCTCTGAGCAGCCAGAGGTCTAGGTCGATGACAGCTCCTAAAACGCTCCTGAATAAATAATGAATAAGAGAACGCGAGCGGGCTGGGGGTGGGGCCAGGCGGGGTCGGCCGGAGACCGGACGTAGGAGGGCCGCATGCGTGAGCTCTCCCGGAAGTCTCCCCGGGCGGAAGTGGAAACGGAAACCTTTCTAGGGAGTCTGAGGTTCAGTCGTCGCGTGTCGAGCTTGCGGTTATTTGGTGAGCTGGTGTGACGGGAGCCTGGAGGGGTCACCTCCCGTCCTGGGTCGGGAGGGGTGGGGGTCTGAGGATTCAGGGCCGGAGTGCCTGGCGGGGTGCAGTGGGCAGGACTCGAGGGCGGAGAGGCCCGGAGGCCGACAGGGGCGGGGTCGCGGCGGGGCCCGAGAGGCGGAGGCTGGCAGGAAAGGATCCGCAGGCCTTGAACTCCCGGCTCCGCCGTCCCCAGGCCTCATGGCGGTCCGAGCGTCGTTCGAGAACAACTGTGAGATCGGCTGCTTTGCCAAGCTCACCAACACCTACTGCCTGGTGGCCATCGGAGGCTCAGAGAACTTCTACAGGTGCGGCGGGAGCCCCGGGGCTCGCGGTGGCGGGGAAGGGTACCTGGGAGTCAAGAGGTCCGGCGGGGTGAGGGTGCCGGCCCTTCCGCCCCGCGACTACCGAGTCCATGTCCCTACAGTGTGTTCGAGGGCGAGCTCTCCGATACCATCCCCGTGGTGCACGCGTCTATCGCCGGCTGCCGCATCATCGGGCGCATGTGTGTGGGTAAGGCAGGTGGAGGACGTCGAGGGAGGGAGTGGGCTCCAGGCACCATTAATCACACCCCCGGAAGGGACCGGGAGTGACCTAGGGATTCCCAGGGTATCATCTATTATCTCTGGGCACTAGAGAATCTCTCAGACCAAGCGTCAGGAGGTCGGGGGCAACCCTCTAGCAAAGGCTACTGGATAATGGTAATACCAAATAATGTAAAGTGCTTTCACTTGTTCTCATTCCTGCTTTACACACACACACACAGAAACAAAAAACACTGATCTCTAGCTATGCCCTTAGGACTTGAGCAAGTTCTGACAAGGGAGATTGTAGCTTGGTCCTTGGTGTATTTGATGATGGGCATGACCTGGAATTTCGAAATTGAGAGGTGTGTATTTGTAGTTTGTTCATTCTTGTTGCTGTATGGTGTGTTTTGTGTAAGGATTCTGCAGTGTATCCATCCATTCCATCGACAGTACATTTGGGCAGTTTTCACTTTGGTCTAGTAGGAATAGTGCTACTATTTTTTTTTAGTGAACACAAACATATTTCTACTGGATATATAATACCTAAGAGTGGCATGGCAGAGTCGCAGGTTATGTGACCATTTAGTTAGTAGTAGATGATGCCGGATAATTACCTGAAGTGGTTGATCACGTTACACTCCTGTCTCAGTGTATGAGAGTTCAGTTGCTCCGTACGTCTTTGCCAACACTTGGAATTGATGACTTGTAAAGATTTTAGTCATTCTGGCGGCACGGTGGCTCACACCTGTAATCCCAGCACTTTGGGAGGTCGAGGCAGGTGGATCATCTGAAGTTAGGAGTTTGAGGCCAGCCTTGCCAACATGGTGAAACCCGGTCTTTACAAAAACACAAAAAATTAGCTGTGAGGTGGTGTGCCTTAGTAATCTCAGCTACTCAGGAGGGTGAAGCAGAATTGCTTGAACTCGGGATGCAGAAGTTGCAGTGAGCCGAGATTGCACCATTGCATTCCAGCCTAGGTGACAGAGACTGTCTCAGAAAAAAAAAAAAGTATCCATTCTGCTATGTGTGTAATATTATCTCAGTTTTTAAGTAGCAAAATACACAACTAATGCCAAGAGCTCTTCCTGTTAGTTCCTGCCTCCCGCTCCCCCCCCCCCCCCCCATTGATGATGGTGAAATAGGTAATGTTTGTTGGGACTCCTGGTCGTCTCTGGCCTGGCCTGGCCTGCTGCCCTGGGTGTTGTACAAATCAGTGGGTTGTGGGTTGAAGGGCTGGGCTCTGGGCCTAAAGCTTTCCTGGGAAAGGTGATTGGGCTGGGCTGTTGGGTTGTATCCTCAGCCCCTAAGGCTCAGCAGGCATCTTGTGTATTCATGGTTCACCTTTGCCCCCCGCTCTAATTTGGTTTTCTCTAGGGAACAGGCACGGTCTCCTGGTACCCAACAATACCACTGACCAGGAGCTGCAGCACATTCGCAATAGCCTCCCAGACTCAGTGCAAATTCGGCGGGTGGAGGAGCGGCTCTCAGCCTTGGGCAATGTCACCACCTGCAATGACTACGTGGCCTTGGTCCACCCAGACTTGGACAGGGTGAGGCAGCCCAACCTGACCTAAGTGTCACAGGGCCATCCTAGTAATTGGTCTGTCACTGTTCTTTCCTAACAGGCAGGAATTAGGGGTTTCTTCTGTGGTTTCTTTTTATATATGGGTCCTTGAATTTCAGGTACTCATTAGAATAATGATAACAGAGGCCTTATCAGTGTCAGAAAGAAGCTGGGGAGGGTGTGAATCCTTTAGGATTGGGGAGATTGAACCATCCAGTCCTGTAGTGATTGACTGTTGAACTTTTGACTGTGGGTGAGAAGGAAAAAAGTGACATGGAGACCAGCCTCCATGCATGAGTATTAGGGGCTTCACAGCTGGCCCTGACTCTGCTCTAAGTTGTACTTCCTCCTTTCTCTGGGTGAGGCTTTCATATGAGATACACAGGAGAAATGAGGGGTACAGGGAGCCAAGGCCTGGGTGCTTCTGGGCATGGAGAGCCCTGGTTCTGGGGCTGTAAGTTCTGGACCCTGAAAACAATACCTTTAACTGATAGGAGACAGAAGAAATTCTGGCAGATGTGCTCAAGGTGGAAGTCTTCAGACAGACAGTGGCTGACCAGGTGCTAGTAGGAAGCTATTGTGTCTTCAGCAATCAGGGAGGGCTGGTGCATCCCAAGACTTCAGTTGAAGACCAGGATGAGCTGTCCTCTCTTCTTCAGGTCCCCCTTGTGGTAAGCCTTCCTGTTCTGTGAACCCCGTCTCCTGCTGAGGCAGATCCTTTTCCCTTGTGTTTGGGAGTCTGGATCATTACCTGCTGCAGTTTGGGACTGGAACTGCAGGTCAGGGAGGAGCAGGGTTTGGGGAGAGTCCTTACTGAGGAGGGAGAGACTGGTGCTGTGACTCACACTGAGCCCTTCCCTTGGTAGGCAGGCACTGTGAACCGAGGCAGTGAGGTGATTGCCGCTGGGATGGTGGTGAATGACTGGTGTGCCTTCTGTGGCCTGGACACAACGAGCACAGAGCTGTCAGTGGTGGAGAGTGTCTTCAAGCTGAATGAAGCCCAGCCTAGCACCATTGCTACCAGCATGCGGGATTCCCTCATTGACAGGTACCTGGGGTCTCCCCTTTCTTCTGCCCAGGGCTGGGGGTTAACTTGCCTTTTGCAAGTATGGGGAAAAATGTCATCTAGAATGGGAGCCTACCAGTTTGTTCTGGTAGCTTCTCGAGTGTGAGAGCATATCTGCATACTGCTGAGCAGATAGAGCCAGCACATTTTTTTTCAGTTCACTATGACATTAAAAAATTTATTGAGCATTTGCTAATCTTCATCTTTGTGGCTTTGTTCAGGGCTAGCATATTAGAGCAGTAGCTGCTTGAGCAGCTTTTCAGAGCTGATCTGGGGGCGAGGGCCAAGGCAGGCACCTCAAGGGTGAGGCGGGCTTTGTGAAACAGCTACTGACTGTGCACTTTCCTTTCTCTTCAGCCTCACCTGAGTCACCTTCCAAGTTGTTCCGTGGGCTCTTGGCTCTGGACTTTGGCACCTTCTCCATGCTCCGCCCAATCTGTACTGGATGCTGGCAGGGAGGTGGCAGAGAGCTCACTGGGACTGAGTGGCTGGGCACCCAACCCTTTTCCACCTGTGCTCATCGCCTGGATCTATCATCATGCAAAAACCTGCTGTTGTGCTGGCTGACAAGCCCTGTGGCTGCTGGCTGAGGGTTCTGCTGTCCTGTGCCACCCCATTAAAGTGCAGCTCCCTCTGGCCATTCTGAATGTGATGTTTGGGGCCCTCAGCCTGTGTACAATCCCCGCACTCTCCAGTTCCAGCATTCTGGGAAGATAGGGTGGGATGGCCACAATACATACCCAGTTCCCCACCTCTACACACGCCATTCCCTTCACCATCATCAGGATGGGAGGCCTCATCTTGGAACCAGAAACACTCTCCACTACTATTCTCACGTTTTTATTTTCTTTTTGAGGCACGGTCTCACTCTTGTCACCTAGGTAGGAGTGTGGTGACACAATGATGGCTCACTGCAGCTTTGACCTCGGCTCAAGCGATTATCTATCTATCTATCTATCTATCTATCTATCTATCTATCTGTCTGTCTGTCTGTCTGTCTATCTCATCTATCTAATCTATCTATCAATCATTTATTTAGTAGAAGCAAGGTCTCACTATGTTGCCCAGGTTGGTCTGATACTCCTGAGCTCTAGTGACCTACCCACCGCCTCAGCCTCCCAAAGTGTTGGGATTACAGGCGTGAGCCACGGCCCCCGACTTCTGCTCCAGTCTTCTCTGTCCTTGAAAGGCTGAGAGTTTGTTACTACTTTACTCGGAGCGATGTGAGGCCGCCGTGAGAGCTCTGGGGCATCCAGCTTCTGGGCATTCTAACTATGGAGGATGGAACTTGAAGGTCCTTTCCTGGTCCTGGGTGGGCGTGGGGCGGGGCAGCGGGTTCCCAGAGCCGTATGGGCCTGGGCGCCTTATAGGCAGCGGGGGCGCGGTCCGTCCCTTTGGTGGTTCGGGGCCTCGAAGTGCTGGGGCGGGATTGGCCGGGTGCGTTCGCGGATCCCCGGCCCGGAGCCCGGGATCCAGTCCTTTTCGCTCCAACGCGCGGAGGGCGAGGTTGGTGCGCGGTGACGTCACGACGCCGGCTCCTCCCGTCGCCGAGGTGGACTCTGGGAAACTCGGGTGTGGCCGTACGAGGTGAGGGCAGGGCCGGGGCGGGGCCCTAGCCGGGATTACTGGCGACTCAGACCTAAAGGGTTTCTCTTCTTGCAGACCATGGGGGCCCAGCTGAGCGGCGGTCGCGGCGCCCCGGACCCTGCGCAGCCCCAGCCCCAGCCCCAGCCCCAGCCCGCGGCGCCGGAGGGCGCGGAGCTGCCCCGGCCTCGGCCTCAGCCTCAGCCCCAGCCCCAGCCCGAACCCGGCCCGTGGGGACCGCTGGATGATGTGCGCTTCCTCATCGCCTGCACTTCCTGGTACTGACGGCGCCTTCCTAGAGGATGCCGCCCTTCCACCCGCCGTTCCCTGTGGTTCTTGTCTGCAGCGTCTCCAATCCCCACGTCTCTTGTCTCTTATACTCCCTCCCGCGGCTCCTCAGAGATAGCAGAGAATTCGAAGAGGTCGCCGGGGACTGGAATGAAGACCCGACAGGGCCGCCTTCTCAGCCTCGACCCCAACTGTTTCCTAGCCTGCAGCCAGACCCAGCTCATCCCTTCGTGCCCATCCCTCCCTTTTCCGGCTGGCTGGGTTCGGGGCAGCCCTCTCTGTCACTGGCCTTCAGAGGCAGGGCAGGCCTCCTGGTAAGCCGGTAAAGCTGCTGACCTCCTGACCTTGCCTGCTTTCACTAATATATTTATTGCTGAGAACCGTGCTCTTGACTATGTGTCTTAGGTCAAGGCACCAGGGGCCTTGACCTCTGAGAAACCCATGCCACAACGACCGTCCCATAGTCTTGAGGGGCGCCGCTCCCCATCCTGGATCCTAAGGAGGCATCATGAGGCTGTGTTCCCGGAACCCCAAAAGCCCTGGGCCCCTAGGGCCAGCCTTTTGTAGAGGGAGGGTATCTGACTGCTGCCGGTCTCGCTGATGAAATGCATGGGGCAGCTTTCAGATACCCCAAAACCGCCCGGCTCTCCTCCCAGAAGCTTCTTAAGGTCATTCTTGGAACTTGATCTTTGTTCCCTCATCCCAGGGAAATGACACACTCTGTATTTCTGTTTTATTTAGAAATGATTTAAAAAACATTATACAAAGGCTGATCAGTTTAAAATGTGACTGACACTGAAATGCTGTGATGTCCCCCAGGCTGAGGGGAAGCGAGGCTCTGGGGCCCCCAGTTCTTTGCCCCTCTGTCCACCCTGTCCTGGGGTGATGGACAAACAGATGACCACAGGCAGGAGAGTCTGAGATTAGAAGCCTCTGGGCCTGGCCCCACATCCCTCACCTCTGCAGCCTGGGCTGCCTGCCTCCATCTCCTGCTCATTCTCAGCTGGCCTACCAGGAGCCAATGGGGAGCCTGGTGGGAGGCAGGGGTGCCTAGAGCTTTCAAGAAGTGAGAGCACCAACCTGAGGAGTGGACAGGGATCAGGAAGTCAGGGAAGGGAGGCCAGGAAGAGGTGGATACAGGAGACAATTCTCATCTCAGACCCTAAAGGGGTCCACAGATGGAGACACAAGGCCCAGCCAGCCCACTGGATGGCCCAGGCAAGTAACAGCCTCTCTGTGCTTCATCTGAGGGCACGGTGAGAGTTACCGTCGGCCTCCCAGGGCCTACACGAGTTTCATGTGAGTGGACAGATGTGAGCTAATAAAGTGCTTTGCAAAGTATAAAACACTGTACAAACCTATGAATCACTAATATCTCCGCAGTTGTTCCCTGCCTGTCCCAGGGAGCCTGCCCTTGGCCAAAATGAGAGAAAACAAGGATGATAACAGGGGACACAGCAGACCCACATGGGCCTCTGGGACAAGAGATTTTGCTTGAGACAGCTCCCAGGGAAGCAGGAGTCCCTGTCTGTGCTACAGGGTAAGCCTACCCCGATCCCAGAGACCACAGGGTTGAGGGCAAGGCCCATGCAGGCTCAGCGAGCAGGGGTGGCATCCGATACCTGGCCAGCAAGCTGGAGACTGCCTTACACCTCTTTCTGGCTTTGGCAGAGAGCCGGTGGGTGTCACTGAACCCACTGGTCTTGCCTAGGGCTCCTCAGTGACAAGCAGGGCTGCCTCTGCTACACTGGAGCCAGGCAAGCCGAGCCCTAGGAACTCCTGCCAGAGACCGTGAAGGGTGAGCCAGTGAAGGTCAAAAAGGGAGGCCCCTCAGCTTGGGGCCGCTACCAGTAGGGGTGCCGTTCTCCTAACAGCAGTGTGGGAAGATGGGCCCAGTGAGCACGGTCAGCAAGGGCCAAGCTCTGGGAAAACACTGCTTCTGGCAAGACACTGAGTCGGCCTCGGTAGTTGGGAGTAGGGGCACTGAGCATTTCAGAAGAATGCCCTGGGCCCCTTCCAAAGGACTCCCAGGCCCTGCCACTGTTGGCCATGCTGCCGTCTCCACCTCACCTAACTAGTCAGGCTGAGCCCCAGGCCACAAGCGACAGGCTGGAGCAAAGCTGGGGACAGGGACAACAGAGGGGAGTGAAGGACGGTCACAAACTCAGATCTGCCTCCAGAGATGGGGTCAGCTTCTGCCCCAGCTCTGTAGCCTCAGGAGCAGGGCTCAGCTACTGGGTTGTCTGGGCGCTAGAGTGGCCTTAGCAGCACCTTGGTCCTTGTCGCCTGGGGGAGGGCCGCTATGCTGGCCTCATCACCAAGACAGTCACCTCTATTTCACCTAAAGCCTCAAGCAGCCTTTGCAAAATGGGACTTTAAACAGTAGTGACAGGACATTTAAATATTCACGATGTGACAGCTGGGTCCTTGTCAGACCCAGCTGGGCCACAGCCCTGCCTGCAGCATGTGACCCTAAATCCTGGGTCCCAGAACAGACCCTGGCAAGTGGAGCAGGTTTCCTGAGGGATCTGCTGTCTGCCAGCAGGGAAACCCAGGCTTGTTGCCCACTGTGTCAGAAGCAGGGGTCCTGTAGCCTTGGAGGACAGTGGGGTGGGGGTGGGGGGACATCTGACCAGCAGGTGTTGGCAAAAGGGGACCGGGACTGGTGGCATCTCCCAGATGGGGGCTGAGAGTTAGTGCTGGCTTCCCACAGAGGGTGCTGGGTCCCAGCCAGGAATGGAGCTGTGGTGCCTCATGGACACCACGGAGTGCTGTGACCAGGGGGGCTCCTCCTGGCATGGTTCCCGTCTCCAGATGGAGCCTGGCCTATTCCCTTAAGTAGGGAGTAGTTTACCCAGGGCAGAAGGCTGGCAACTGGATGCCAGACACCCACCCTGGGGCACAGCCCCCATAATTCCCTGTCCCACACTCAGCCTAGGCCAATGCACCCACCACTTCAGCTGTACGACCCCACACTAGGGCCCTGCTGGCCCTGGTGAGCAGTGGCCAGAGCTGCTCCTCAGACCCTGGTGAGGAAGGGCCTGGCTGGCTAGACCGAGTGTATAGAGAGGGCTTTGGGCTGCTCATACCCACTCCTGGACTGGCCGCTTATAGTAGGTGACAGGCTGAGGGCCTGTCTTGTTCTTGAACTGGAAGATGGTGTAGACCAGCACCAGGATGCAGAGGGACAGGATGCAGGGGATGACCACGGCCACGGCATTCACGGAGCCTGGCACATCATTGATGGTCACCATGATGTCCACGTCGTCCTGGGGCAGCCGCCGCTCCTTCCGCCGCTCCACCTCCTTCTGGTTGCAGCCCATCCAGTCACGCAGGATGTTCCGTGGGTAGCCTGGCTCCACGCTCAGTTTCTGGTTGTCAAACTTCCAGTAGTCCCTGCCCTTGTAGAAGTAGGTGTAATCTGCAGAAATACAGCCCAGCGTCACCGCTCCCAGAAACTTCCCGTACCTGCTCTGGGGCAGCATGAGAGGGAGGGCATCAGGCGCTGTGGCAGGGGAGGCAAGGTGGGCACACCTGGAGGTTTGGGGTGCAGCGCTTGACTGAGACATGGAGTGTGAAGCTGCAGAGGGGGGTGCTGGGGACCTGGAGTGGCGTGCCTGTCATCTCACAGGTGCTGGGAAACCAGAGGGAGAACTGGGACATGGTTCACTTTGTGCCACCCAGACGACCCTTTGCATGCAGCCTGGGTCACAGCTCTGTTACTCTGTGCCCACAGGCCCCCCCCCCACCCTGCCCATGTGGGTCCCATTAAGCCTCAGCCCAGCTCCTGCTTGAGCCAAGAGAGGCAGGGAGCAAGATTTCTCCTTCCGTTGACAGCAAGACACTACCTCTCTGCAATTATGGATTTTTTTTTTGGCTTGGCACATATCACTTCACAACTCGAGTCTTTGCAAGTCTTATGGGGGAGGGGTGGGCAGCCCTGCCAATCACTCCCTGGGCAGCCACCCCACGGCTCCAGCAACAGCCTGAGCAGCCCAGCCAGTGGGCAAAGCAGCTTGCTCAGGCTATCCTCATTGGCTGGCTCCCCACCCTGGCTAGGACTTTCATTGGTCTAGGTCCTTGATGTCACCTGTCTCTGAGGCTCCCAAAAAGGGAGATCTTGTGTGTAAAGCATCAGGTATACAAAACAGCCAACAAATAGCGGCTGTGGCCATTGGCTTTCTTATGAGTGACCACTCCTCAGAGAGCCCTTCCCAGCTGTCTCTAGTCTCTAACATGGCCCCCTCTAGCTCGTTGTTCTCTCCCAGCATTTATTTATTTCCTTTTTTTTTTTTTTAAAGACAAGGTCTCATTCCATCGCCTAGGCTGGAATACAGTGGTGCAGTCAAAACTCACTGCAGCCTCAAACTCCTGGTCTTAAGCAATCCTCTTGCCTCAGCTTACCAAGTAGCTGGGACTACAGGCACATGTCACCACACCCAGCTCATTTTTGTATTTTTTCTTTGTAGAGCTGGAGTCTCACTATGTTACCCAGGCTGGTCTCAAACTGCTGGCCTCAAGTGATCCTCCCACCCTGGCTTCCCAAAGTGCTGGGAGTCTTTCCCTTATAGCATCTGTTGCTACCTTGCTTTATGCCCCTTGACTGGGACCTATGCAGGTCCTGTTCATTGCCACGCCCCCAGCTCCCACCACACAAGCTGTCTGTTACGATGGAGTGAATGAATGAATCTTGTCAATCCACATAAACCGAAACCCACAAGATGATGATGATGATGACTACAATAGCAGCTAAAACATATAGCACGGATTGTGTGCTGGGCCTTTTTTCTAAGTATGCTACGTAATTTATCTTATTTAATCCTCACAAAACCATTATATAAAGGTAGGTCCCATTATTATCCCCATTTATAAGTGAGAAAACAGAAATTAGAGATTTGCTCAGATTCATAGTGAGTGGTACTATCGTGGTTGTGAACCCAGCCATTCCAGCTCTAGAGGCTGTGCTTTTGACCATATTAATGGAGATCTACTTAACATACAGTCCTGGAGACTCACTCTGCATCTGGCCAGGCTGGCTGCTCCTCCTGAGAAGCTCATAGGCTGGTGGGGAGACAGGCTGTGAGTGACTGATGGCAGTTGTGGGGGCTGGTGGCCAGCATGGCTTCTAGGAGGAGTTCAGGAAACACAAGTTTAAAAAGTTTTTCTCTTGATGCAGCGGCTCATGCTTGTGATCCCAGGGCTTTGGAGGCCGAGGTGGGAGGATTGCTTGAGACCAGGAGTTCAAGACCAGCCTGGCCAACAGAGTGAAAGCTTGTCTCTACAAAAATTGTAAATTAGCCAGGCATAGTGGCATGTGGCTGTAATTCCAACTACTCAGGAGGCTGAGGCAGGAGGATCACTTGAGCCCAGGAGGTTGAGGCTGCAGTGAACTATGATCATGCCACTGCATTCCATCCTGGGCGACAGAGTGAGACCTTATCTCTTAGAATTAAAAAAAAAATTTTTTTTAAAGGTTTTCTTTTCATCTTCTTGCCCTTAAGCCCTGTGAAAAGGTGCCTTTGAAACATGCATGCCCATCATTGCTTTTCAGATTTGGTGACTCAAGGAGTCCCTGGAGTACACCTGAGGATAACTATTTGAGAGACTCTGTCTGAAGGAGTCAAGTCAGCCTATGACATCTCTCTGTTGTGGATCATTCCTGCAGATGAAAAAGAGTGACTTGGCAGCTGGTAAGTGAATTAATGGACCATGTGAACATGGGGAGATAGGAGGCAACTGTCTCCCTCCAGGTATTTTCTCCAGCCTGGAGGCCCATGGGCACTGAGGATGCCTGTGGGCACTGATGAGGACCACATAAAACCAGCTCCCCATTCCCACCCCAGCCCGGCCTTTACGTACATCCTTCCTTGCTGATGAAGGCCCCTTGGGGGGCCTGTGGGATGCCCTTCCACACGGTGATGGGCTTGGGGTAGCCAGGATCCGTAGCCCGCCGCTCCTCGCTGTAGCGCCAGTACCGCTCGCCTTTGAAAAAGTAGGTCTTGCCCACGGGTTCCCAGCGCAGAGCTGTGTCGATACCTTCACGGGGCAGACAGCTGCCCAGCTCCCCCAGGCTGTGGGGGTACCCAGGCTCCACCGTCACCTCTTTAAACACCCAATACTTGTCACCTGTGGCCAAGAGGAGCCCAGGATCAGCTTCTTCAGTCACTCAGTGCCGCCTGCCCATCTTCAGGGTATCAGGTGAAAACAGCCCTAGGCCCGCCTGATCCCCTCAGCCCCTTGGCACAGTTTGAGTTTGGAAGGGCAGAAAGCCTGAGGCCAGTCACAGATCGTGGACTGCTTCCCTGTGCTGCCTGGGGTCCGAGTCCCACCCTCTTCTGTTCATGTGACCTGCTCTTCTCTCCTCTCTGGTGATCTCAGCCACTCCCATGACTTCACATGCACTACCACCCCTCAAACCTCCACCAGTGACCCCCCACTCCGAGGCTCTCCCACTGGACCTGAGCAGCAGACCCAGAATCTCTTGGTCTGTGGGCAGCTCCACATCGGGGCTTCCCAGAGTTCCTCATCTGTACCCCAAGAAGGGCTCCGTCCTCGTTACCTTCTGCCTGCCAGGTCCATAACAGGGAGTCCTCGCCTCACTGTTGACCCTCTCTTTCTCCTCTTAGTATTCAACCACTTTTTTTTTTTTGAGATGAGTTTCGCTCTTGTTGCCCGGCTGGAGTGTGATGGTGTGATCTCAGCTCACCGCAACCTCTACCTCCTAGGTTCAAGCAATTCTCCTGCCTCAGCCTCCTGAGTAGCTGGGATTACAGGCCTGTGCCATTATGCCCTGCTAATTTTTGTATTTTTAGTAGAGACGGGGTTTTACCATGTTGGTCAGGCTGGTCTCGAACTCCTGACCTCAGGTGATCCACCCACCTTGGCCTTCCAAAGTGCTGGGATTACAGGCATGAGCCAACATACTCAGCTGAGTAGCCACTTCTGAGGCCCTCTGACTCTCCTGGCAGCTGTCCCTTGCTCTCCAGCTGCACTGCTCCTCCCTGGTTTGGGCCTCATGAATGGTGCTCTCCAGAATCACCTCAGAAATGGCCACCCTGCCCCTGCCATGTCTGTCGCCTCCTGCCTTCTGGCTCTCCACTGCTCAGAAATGTTCCAGGAATTTCCAGCCTTGGCCTAATGGATCAAGACCACATTCTGGCCTGGCAATGAGGGCTCTTCAGGATTTTCCCCCAAATGACCTTCCTGGGCCATTTGTCACAGCTTTCCAAAGAGGGGCTTCTGTGGCCATCAGGTGGGTCTTCTAAGCCCTGTGAACGTCTGTTCCCATCCCAACCCTGCTGCTTTATTCAGCCGTTGTCCCTCTGCAATGCTTTCCTTGCTTCTCACTGTCTGTCTGTAGCTCACCCATCTTAGGCCCGGCCCAAGTAAAGATAATTGTCATGAAACAACCTAGCACAGTGCTGGGCACAGGGTGGGCAACTTAGCTCCCTCCCATGCCCGCCCCCGACCTCCCCAGCCTGAGTGACCTCCTCCCTCTGTGTTCTTACAGAACTGACCAGATGGCCTCTCCCGTGGGGTACTGGGTGGTCTTCAATTGTTTGTCCACGCGGAGCTGGGACAAACACGTGGGCGGAGCTGGTCACCCAGCAACCCTGGCACATACAGAGTCTCAGGCATCACTTTCTGACTTGATTTGTCAGAGGTCAGTGTCTCTGTTATGGCTAGAAGGGCCCTCTGAGGACATCTGCCCCTTCCAGTTTAGACGGGAAAAAGGAGGTCCCAAGACCTGGGGCAGGGAGCTGTCCTACAGCACAGGCGACATTACCTCTGAAGAAGACAAATCTCCCATCAGCCCTTTCGTAGGCTGCGTCGATGCGTGCAGGCAGTCCCTTCCAGAACTGGTCGATCTGCATGGGGTAGCCCTCCTGCACCCGGTGATTGCGCAGGCGCCAGAACCAGCGATCCTGGGAGGAGAACGGCGTGTCAGGCCCTGCCTCTGCACCCAGTGATTTCAGCCTTGGGGTTTAGGCCCCAGCTGCCCAACACCTTCCCTGGGGCCCAGCCCGGCAACCCTCCGCAGAGGGTCCATTAGCTGCTTTGGAGTTTTAAAGCCTTGGGAGGAAGACAGGATGTCCCTGTCACTCTCTTCATTTCAGCCTCCTGCTGACTGTTGTGGCCGGGTGGAACAGGAGACAAGACAGCAGACAGGCCTGGTGTGGAAGGGAGATGTGAGGGAGCTGGAAAGGATGAGGTCGGGGCCCGGAGTGGCCACATGGGGGCAGCGGAGTGTCGCTGACATTAGGTCCTCAGGAGAGCAGGAGGCTGTGGTGGTCACTGAGGCTGGGCCCAGTGCCCTTCGTCGGGCTGGCTCCATCCAGCAGGGCAAGGATCATGGGAGTCAAGCCATGGGAATTCCCTCGAGACCTGGGCATGAATTGGTATTCCTCCACTTGTGGCTACATGACCTAGGGCCTCATCTGCAAGTGCAGGTGATAATGGAGAATAATGAGAGATTCTAGGCAAAGGGCCCAGAACAGTAAGGGGCACACAGTCCATGTTGAGTAAATGGCAGCTAAATAGTCTGAGTCCAGTAGAAATGCCTCTTCTAACTGGCGCCTTGTCCCCACTGCAGCCTCGGGCTGGTAAGCAAGCAATCTAGGCAAGGCCTGTAGCCTCCCGGGACCTCTGTTTTCTTATGTGTAAATGGGGATGATAAAACCCAGACCTGCCTATGAACAGTTCAGTTGGATCAAAGTAGAATGAGTGCAGAAGAAGGAGCATGATTTGTAAAAGATGGTACAAAAGCCAGTAGTTTTAAAAGGTGTTTCACAAAGTACTTTCACATCCAGGTGTGTGACCTCATTTTGACTTTTATGTCTGTTAAGTTGATCTGAGATATACAGTCTTAAGAAAGGCCTAGACTTGCCTAGAGCCACTCAGTGAGAAGCCAGACTGGGGCTGACCCACGCTGCCTGATTCCTGCGAGGTGCTCAGCGTGTGCTGGGAGAACTCCATGAGGGGAGTGAGGCAGCCTTCTCCACCAGCCGACGTGATGGAGACGACCTGCCCAGATCCCCTTCAGAGAAGGGCTTCTTGCCCCAGTGGCTAGGAGTGTAGCCAGCAGGCAGTTTCCAACTGTTAGCCCCTTTGGGGATGTTCTCTGCTCTGGAGAGCCTCCCTCTATTACTAGATGCCCTTGCTCATCCCGTGATTGAATGAGGGAGGGGTTATAATGTCCCAGATATTCTGAGCCCAGTGTAGGATGACTCACAGGCCACCGTAGCTCCAGAGCTCCCTGCGGGGGTGACTGAGGCTGCCATAGGCCTGCCTATGTTGCCACCTCTCCCTCTTCCTTGTCCTGCTTCCTTCTCCTCCTTCCCACAGATGTTGATTCTGAAGGTCCTCCCTAATCGAAATCCTGCATTCCAGACCCCACCTCAGAGTTCGATCCCCTCAGAACCCAACCTACAACACATCAAGCAGATGGCCATCCTGTCAGTCCATGGCTGAAGGCGGACAGATGACAAGGTATAACCTGGCCAGGAGCAGCCTCTCAAGCTTTGGCAGGGTCTGGAGTCAGATTCAGCCACCACTGACTTAGCCCCTACTCCAGGCTGGCCATCTTCATAGCTAGGCGTTCACTGGATCTTCACACACTCTTTGCTAAAGGAATGACTCCCCCAGGTTTCAGAGAGAGAAACTGAGGTCCGGAGAAGGGAGGTGACTCACTCAGTCAAGGGGCCCAGAACAGTACGGGGCACACAGTAGCCAGACCAGAAGCCAGCATCCATAGATGGGCCCTCTGAGGACATCTGCCTCCCACCCTGCCTCTTCCAGTTTAGATGGGAAACAGGAGGTCCCAAGACCTTGGGCAGGGAGCTGCCCCAGCATTAACACCTGGGGAGGTAAGTGATCACCCATCTTTCCCTCTCCCTCCTGGAAACAAGTTGATTCACCCAGCAGCACCAGGAAAAGACCCCATGCTCTGGCCACTGGGCCAGCTCCCGTCCAGGCCCCATTGTAACTGAATCCCAAATCAGGAGCCTTCCTCAGCTCCATGTTGTAAGGGAGGAGGGGGAAAGATCAGGGGCCAGCTGAGGGGCGCCAAGCCATTGGCCCTACCTTAAACACAAACATCTCGCCGCGGAAGAGGGCCACTGTATTGAAGTTGCCGTCACAGATGTTGGGTTTGGTGCCTGGTGTGGATGGCCGGTCCCCGAGGGGTGGCCGGGGAGGCCTGGGCTGGCGCTCATGCTTCCTCTCCGATGGTGAGTGGATCCTGCGGACGGGGAGTGTGGGGAGTGGCCTTGTGGGCTCCAGAGGCTCAGCTGGGGGTCCTGGAGAGAGGGGCTGCATCTTAGAGAGGGGGCAGCCGTTCCCTGCCTCCCACTGCCATTGTCTCAGCCTCACCCAGGGAGCTCTGAGACAAGTCTGACCCAGTCCAGCCTCCTGTCCCCTTTCCCCCGGTTAACTCCCCTAGTCTTTGAGAAAATGGATGAAAATAGTCATTATATTGTGACTCTCATCTTCCCACTCCCAAATCTGGTATCTTCTCTTTTCTCTCTCTCCTGTTACACGGCAATCATGTCCTTAGGGTCAGCATCCCATGCCCTCTCTGCCCCCTTCACACACACTGGCCCACTTCTCACCCCCTTCATTCATTCTCTAACCCACTCTAGTGCAGCTTCTACCCACCACCCACTCCAACTGGATGATCTGTCAAGATCATCCAATGGTGGCTTGCTCAGACTTTGATGAGCACATGCATCATCTGGGGATGTTGCTAAAATCAGATGAGGGCTCAGAGGGCCTGGGGTGGGGCCTGAGATTCTGTATCACTTGACACTCTCAGGTGATGCTGATATTGCTAGTCTGAAGACTACACTTTGAGCAGCAAGATTCATAGAAACACTTTTCCTGAAACACTTTCTTGGTGGTTCTCCTGCCTCATGGGCTGTTCCTTCTCAGCCTCCTCTGCTGGCCACCTGTCTCCTCTGCCCTACTCTAAAGGCTGGCATGCCCTGAGTCCTCTTCTTTTTTCTCTCTACATTTTTGTCCTTAGGTCAGTGCTTCTCCACTTGGGCTGCATATTAGGATCACCTGGAGGAGCTTTTCAAACTCTGGATGTTCAAGAAGCACCAGGCCAACTATCCAACTATATACACACACACACACATATATATATATATATATTTTTGGAGGAGTCTCACTCTGTCCCCCAGGCTGGAGTGCAGTGGTGCTATCTCAGCTCACTGCAACCTCCACCTCCCACGTTCAAGCGATTCTACTGCCTCAGCCTCCTGAGTAGCAGGGAATACAGGTGCATGCTGCCCCACCTGGCTAATTTTTGTTTTTTAGTAGAGATGGGGTTTCACCATGTTGACCAGGCTGGTCTCAAACTCTTAACCTCAAGTGATTCACCCATCTTGGCCTCCCAAAGTGCTGGGATTACAGGTGTAAGCCTCCACACCTGGCCTAATTAATTTAAATTTAAATGTCATTACTGTGTATGACTAGTGGTTACTGTACTGGGCACCAAAGATGCCAAATAAACATCCCAGCCTAGACTTTTTTTTTCTTTTTTTTTTGAGACAGGGTCTCACTCTCTGACCCAGGCTGGAGTGCACTGGTGCGATCTCAGCTCACTGCAGCCTCCACCTCCGGTTCAAGTGATTCTCCTGCCTCATCCTCCTGAGTAGCTGGGATTACAGGTACGTACCACCACGCCTCGCTAATTTTTGTATTTGTAGTAGAGACAGGGTTTTGCTGTGTTGGCCAGGCTGGGCTTGAACTCCTGACCTCAGGTGATCCATCTGCCTTGGCCTCCAGCCTAGATGTTTGATCTGCAGACTGGTGGACCCTGTCGCTACACAATTACAAAAGCTGGAAACCCTGGGGTCATCCTTGACCCTCCCTCCTTCCTCTCAGCCCACATCTGATCTGTCAGCAGAACCTATTGTTCTACCTTTGGAATAGCTTCTGGGACGCACAGCCTCCACCTGGTCTTGGCTGCTTTACCTGTGGAGGTCCTGCCTGTCCTCCAGGGCTCTGACTGGGTCATCTCCTCCATAGGGAGCCCTCCTCCTGTACTCCGTAGCCTGGGGGCTCTGGGTGCCTGTGCTGTCTTGACAAGCATTTGCTCAAGTAAACTGGTCTCCCTATCTCACCTGATTTGACCAGAGCAAGAACCTCATATACTAGTGTGAACAGAACTGGGAGAGAGGCATGTAAGAGGCCAGCTTCTAATCTTTCATCTTTTTTTTCCTTTTTTTTTTTTTGATATAGGGTCTGTTGCCCAGGCTAGAGTGCAGTGGTGAGATCTCCGCTTACTGCAATCTCTGCCTCCTGGGTTCAAGTGATTCTCTTGCCTCAGCCTCCCAAGTAGCTGGGATTATAGGCACCTGCTACCACGCCTGGCTTTTTAAAAATTTTTTAAATTTTGTAATTTTTGGTAGAGATGGGGTTTCACCATGTTGGCCAGGCTGGTCTCGAACTCCTGACCTCAAGTGATCTGCCCACCTCGGCCTCCCAAAGTGCTGGGATTTCAGGCGAGAGCCACCGCACCTGGCCCTCATCTTTTCACTTTAAAGAACAAAGCTCTGGTTATAGTACCCATTACACTGTATCTCTGTTACTTCTGCAGATGTGCAAACCTGCCTGGCTAGAGGAGGACCCCATGGGAGTGCTCAGTTACTGTCTGGTAGAGCAGGGAGGGAATGTAGCACAAAGGGAGAGGAAAGAGTGTGGAAGGGGAGGGGTAAAGAAGAGGGAATGGGTGGCCCTCACCTCACTTCTGTCCCTCTCGGTTATAGCCCAGACCCTCCCCTAGGTTTCCCAAGTGTGCCAGGGAAAGCCTTGTCCTCTGGCCAGGCAAAGCCTTTGGAAGTCTGTAAAGATTGCATAGTCAGAGAAACAGCAGCCATGCTGATGATAGCATCATCCCCCTCCCTCGTCCCCTGCCCCATTACAGGTAGGCAGTCACAGCCCAGCCCTGAGGAAGGAGCAGTCACCCATCTCCCTGCCACACACCATAGATCTTCTGGATGCCCTGGAGATCATCCTGGGGAAGCTTGAAGTTGTGCGTCTCCATGTACTGGTAGAAGGGTGCCATGATGGCGCTTGGGTCGTTGGAGTGCTCCAGTCCCAGCGCGTGGCCCAGCTCGTGCACAGCCACCAGGAAGAGGTCGTTCCCTGTGGAAAGGAGCATGGGAAGGTGCCCAGGGCACCCGCTTAGATGTGAGTCAGTCAGCCAAGCCATTACCTCAGCAAACACCAACCACAGGCCCTGTGCCAGGCCCCGTGCTGGACACTGGGGACATATAGAGAAATCAGACACAACCCCTGCCTCCCAGGCCTCTCTGCAGCATGGGGACAAGGAGAGAGAGAACACCAGTGAGGCAGAGGGCTCTGGGGGCATTAGGAATGTCTGAAAGCGTCGGGTGGGGATTCCGAGGAGAGAGGGGTCATTTAAACTTGGAGGAAGATGTTCAGGGAAGGCTTCACAAAGGTGAAGCTGAAGCTGAGTCTTGAAGGATCAGAAGTCAGTCAGGAGAATGGATTCAGGGGGCAGGAGAGGAAGGGTGGGGGTGGCATTCTTGGCAGATAGAATGTGATAAACAATGTCCAGGGACAAGCAGTTTCATTCCACCTGGCTCTGGAACAAAGCACGAGGGGAGGGCTTGCAAGAGATGAGGTCAGCCAGGCTGGCAAGCAGGGCGCTTAATGCCATACAAAGGAATTTGGATCAGCTTCTTGGCTAGTGGGGGGTTTAAGCAGGAGTGGGGGAGGTGATACAAGGAAATCACTGGCTGCATTTGGAGGGACGATTAGCGGGAACAAGAGCTGGGGAAGGGGGATCCGTTTGGACACTGGGGTCCAGGTGAGAAGTGAAAAGGCACTGAGGCTGACCAGGCACAGTGGCTCACGCCTGTAATCCCAGCACTTTGGAAGGCCGAGGTGGGCAGATCACTTGAGGTCAGGAGTTCGAGACCAGCCTGGCCAACATGGTGAAACCCCATCTCTACTAAAAATACAAAAAATTTGCAGGGCATGGTGGCGTGTGCCTGTAATCCCAGCTACTTGGAAGGCAGAGGCAGGAGAATTGCTTGATTCTAGGAGGCATAGGTTGCAGTGAGCTGAGATCTGCACCACTGCACTCCAGCCTGGGCAACAGAGTGAGACTCCATCTCAGAAAATAATAATAATAAAAAGAGACCAGGTGGAGGGAATGGGGACAAAGAGAGCAAGTTCAAGGGTTGGCAGACTGGCTGTCAGCTTCAGGAGACTCCGGGCAGGCGGGGCCTGGGCATGGGCAGCTCTCTGCAGGACCTCAGTTCTGGAGGAAGGGAACTGTTGGCCAAGATTAAGGCAGGGATTCGAGTGTAGGTGAAAACACAATCCAGGTCCTGGAAATGGGACACAGGATCCCAAGGGTGGAACTGAGGCAGCTCCGTGGCACTGCAGTTATGAGCTCGGGCCCCTGAGCGCGACAGATCACCTTCATTCCCCTGGCCAGTCTGTGAATATGGCCAATAGGCCTACCCCTAAGCCTCAATGTCCTCACTTATAAAATGGGGCATCAGACCTACCTCACCGGGCTGTGTGAGGTTGAATAAGATACACACGAAGTATGTGGCGTGGCACAGAATGGCAGCTGTTGTAATCCTATATCAGACAGAAGCTGGGTGACTGGAAGAAGCCCACTAACCAGAAAGGAAGCACAAGGCCAGTGGAGCACCAGCAACCAGATCCTCTGAAAGCCAACTCCCCTGAGCTTCTGTATTATGCCTAGGACAGGACAAGGAGGCCTGAACTTAGGGGGATTAAGTGACTGTAGCTTTGGGGAAAAAAATGCAGGGGGCAGGGAGTTGATAGGCCATTGGACCGACAGTCCTGACTCCCATCTGCCCAGTTTCAGACTCTTGCTTGCCTTGACCTCTGGCATTTGTAGCCCTGTGAGCCCTTCCTCTTATCTCCTGGCCATAAGGCATGGCTCGGCCCATTTCTGCCACCTCTGAGTCCAGGGAGGCTGCTAGGAGCCTAGGAGGTGGTCAGGAGTCCTACTGCCCACTCTGGCCCAAGCGTCACTGGCAAGTTGTTCTACCCCAACCCAGCCTAGCGTCACGTGGGGGTGAGGATTATTTGGTCTTCCTGGTTTAGGTCTCCAGAAGAGAGAAGAACCCCATGGGGCAGACCCAGACCAAGGACAGTACATGCCTGCCACAATACTGACATCACCAGTGTCTTCTGTGAAGCTGCCTTTGAGCAATGGAAAGGAAGGAGGATGGGCAAGATCAGTGCAAGGTTGGCCAAAAGCCTGGGGCTGGCCTTCTGCTGGCATGAGAGGGCCAGGCCGCCCCCAGCTCCTTCCTCAGGTCCTGGCCCCTCTGGCAGCAGGGAAGGGTGAGCTCATCTCTGAGCTCCATCCCAAACAAAGGCAACTGCTAGAGCCAGCGGAAGGCCGCTCTGCTTCCTGGGGTCCAGTCCTGGCTCTGCTCCTGGGCTGTTCTATGACCTGGGAAAGGTGTTCAGGGCTTCTGTCTCCTGAGCAGGCTCTGTCCCAGGGGCTGTCCACGGGGAGCTCAGCTGGAAACCAGGGAACAGGGCTCTGAGCACCGTGGGAGACTCGAAACCTTTGTCCACAGTCTTGTATCTTGCTCTGTTAACCCCTGTGCTGGGTCTGCAGAGGGCAGGAGTAACCCGTTAAAGGAAGGAGACCCGTGTGTTGGGTTCAGGAACCAAAGGGAAGGGAGGAGCCAGGGAGCCAGCATCCTGCCACACAGAAACCCAAGAGACCCCTTGGGAGGGAGTGGGGCAGGGGCAGGACTCCCTGAGCTTGTGAGGTGAAGGCAGAGGTGTGAGAAGGAGAGGCCTGCTATGAGGACCCCATGCTCCATGGGCAGGAGGCTATTACGGTCGTCATATTTTTTTTTTTTTTTTTTAAGACAGAGTCTTGCTCTGTTGCCAGGCTGGAATACAGTGGTGTGATCTCAGCTCACTGCAACCTCTGCCTCCTGGGTTCAAGGGATTCCTCTGCCTCAGCCTCCTGAGTAGCTGGGACTATAGGTGTGCGTCACCATGCCTCAATAATTTTTTATATTTCAGTAGAGACAGGGTTTCACCATGTTGGCCAGGATGGTTTTGATCTCCTGACCTCGTGATCCACCTGCCTTGGCCTGCCGGCCAAAGTGCTGGGATTACAGGCATGAGCCACCATGCCCAGCCAGGTTTTTGCTCTTTAAGTGGGTGAGAAGCAGGGAAGCCAGTCTCTGGGAGCCAGACTGCCTGGTTTTGAATCCCAGCTCTGCCATGTCCTAGCAGTGTGATATTTTACATTTCTTCCTCTGGAAGCTAGAAGGAACAATGGCACCTTGGTCGTAGGGATGGGGGTGAAGATGAATGAGGCAGAGTGTGTAATGCACTCATACTGGCTCCTGGCACAGAAGTATTACCCTTCATTAGCAGGGTCCTGTTGAGCTGTGTGTGAGCACCAGCAGCCCTGATAGGATGTGTTCCTGGAAGTCCCTGGGCCTCTGAGCAAGTCCCCAGCAGTCTACTTGGCTACTCAAGTGGGCCTTGTCTTTACCTCATTTCTTTCTCTTAGGATCTCCCTATTCGGTGGTTCTCATCCTATTAACTCCTCCAGCCCCACAAAAGGTGATTGCCAGTGCTGCCCCTCCACTTGGAATAACCAGATTCCTTCAAAGTTCAGCTCCATGCCTATCTTCCTGGAAGCCTTCCTTGACCTCCCAGCTGGCAGTGAGTGCTCCTGTCACTGTGCCCTCCCGGCAGTTTCTCTGAACTGCCTTTATGGCATTGACCGCTTCCTCCCCACATGATCGCTGCTAGTGCACGTGCTTGCCACCCAGAACTGCGGGTTCCCCACATGATCGCTGCTAGTGCACATGCTTGCCACCCAGAACTGCGGGTTCCCCACATGATCGCTGCTAGTGCACGTGCTTGCCACCCAGAACTGCGGGTTCCTTGAGGATAAGCTTTGTGCCAAAGAGCAAGGTGACAGCACCCGAGATGGAACAGTGCCAAAAGCACAGTATTTTCCCAAGGGAAACACCTGGACCACCTGCAGCAGAACCACCGGGGTGACATAAAAATGCGGAGTCCGGGGGTCACACCTGGCTCTGCCACATTCCAACTGGGTGAATTTCCTATTTTTTATTGTTTTTTTTTTTTTTTGAGACAGAATCTTGCTCTGTTGCCGAGGCTAGAGTGTAGTGGTGTGATCTCAGCTCACTGCAACCTCCACCTCCTGGGTTCAAGCGACTCTCCTGCCTCAACCTCCCAAGAAGCTGAAATTGCAGCCATTTGCCACCACATCCAACTAATTTTTGTATTTTTCATAGACAGGGTTTCACTATGTTAGCCAGGCTGGTCTTAAACTCCTGGCCTCAAGTGATCCACCTGCCTCAGCCTTCCAAAGTGCTGGGATTACAGGTGTGAGCCACTGCACCGGCACCCTTTAAAGACAGGGTCTTGTTATTTGCTATGTTGCTCAGGCTAGTCTCAAACGCCTGGGCTCAAGCCATCCTCCTGCCTCATCCTCCCAAGTGTTTGGACTACAGGTGCACCCGGTTCAAGAAATCCGCTTTCCTCATCTGTAAAGTGGTGATGGTAATCCCTGCCAGTTGGCCTCCCAGGGCGGGGATGGGGGGAGTCTGTGAGGTCAATGTGGAGGGCCTCACTCTGTGCAGCACGGCTGGGTCAGGATGACTCTCTTGTCCTGTCACCTTCCCCTACGCAGGAGCAGGGCAGGGCTGGGCACCCTCCCCAGCAGAGCTTAGTGACTATCTGCTGACTTCACTGCTTGACTCATTTGAAAGAAACGAGGGCAGAAGATGTCTGAAAGTAGCTCCAGGAACCAGCTTAAAGGTGGGTTGGGCTAGCTTGCGCCTTCACTCAGACTCCACATAAGTGGGGAAGCAGAACCACCTTTATGTCCCAGTAGTTCTCCAGGGGAGCCTTTTATTTTTATTTGTTATTTATTTTTGAGAACAGGGTCTTACTCCGTCCCCCAGGTTGGAGTGCAGTTGCGTGATCTCAGCTCACTGCAATCTCAGCCTCAGCCCCCAGGTTCAAGTGATTCTCCTGCCTCAGCGTCCCAAGTAGCTGGGATTACAGGTACATGCCTCCAGGCCTGGCTAACTTTTGTATTTTTAGTAGAGACAGGGTTTTGCTGTGTTGACCAGGCTGGTCACAAGCTCCTGACCTCAGGTGATCTACCCGCCTTGGCCTCCTGAAGTGCTGGGATTACAGGCATGAGCCACTGCATCTGGCCCAGGGGAGCCTTTTAAATACATGGAGGAAATGGGGAAGATATTCTGATTCAGGAGGTTTGGGTTGGGACGTAGGCAATGTTTTTTCTTTCTTTCTTTCTTTTTTTTTTTTAGTTTTCCAGGTGAATTGTATAATGGTTGGGTCAGGCTGACACAACCTGAAGCAAATGCTTGACCTCGGCATCGCTAAAAGTGGGACAGACAGTCTGCATCATATGTGTTTGCTGATGCGGTGAATAGGAAGTACCAGCACCACCTAGGAAGTGTTCTTGCCAAAAAATTGAACTTGAATCTAGTCAGGCCTACAGATCTAATGAATAACATTCAGGAATTATGGGGAAGACAAACATATTAAAAGTGAACTTGATTCTAGTCAAGCCAAATGATTATACTCAGGACACATGACCCAGTTTCTTCAACAAATATAAGGAGGGAAACATGTGTAGGGTGGGGATGTTTTAAATAAAAAGGGCTTTAAGAGACACATCAGCCATGTCTGATGTGTGGATCTTGTTTGGATCCTGATTCAGGCAAACAACTGTAAAAGACATTTCTGAGGCTGGGCGCAGTGGCTCACACCTGTAATCCCAGCACTTTGGGATGCTGAGGTAGGCGGTCACAAGGTTAGGAGATCAAGACCATCCTGGCCAGCATGGTGAAACCCCATCTCTATTAAAAATACAAAAATTAGCTGGGTGTGGTAGTGTGTGTCTGTAACCCCAGCTACTCGGGAGGCTGAGGTAGGAGAATCCCTTGAACCCAGGAAGCAGAGGTTGCAGTAAGCCAAGATCGTGCTACAGCACTGGGCAACAGAGTAAGACTCTGTCTCAAAAAAAAAGAAAAAAAAGAAAGAAATTTCTGAAGTACTTTGGGAAAGTGAAGTCAAACTGGGTATTAGATTTTTCAAAATTATTGTAAATTTTGTTGGGTTTGATAATGATTGTGTGGTTATGTTAAAAATTAGCCTTTATCTGTTAGAGAAATATACTAAAGTATTTAAATGTGAAATGATATTATGCCTGAGATTTTCTTTAAAATACATCAGCCAAAAAGAGGTGGATAAAATAGGAATGCCACAGTGTTGATAATTGCTGAGGCAGGTGATGGATACCTGGGAGATCATAGAATCATTCTTCCTGCTTTTGCGAGTTTGAAATTTTCCATGATGAGAGTTTAGAAAAAAGAAGTAATCTAGTAAGTTCAAAAAGTTCCCAGGAAACGCCACTCCCTTGCTGACTCTGTGTGGAAATTAAACAAGATAATATATGGATACTCGATAAATTTTGGTTCCTTTCCTCTTGCCCAAAACCTGCCTTCACTGCACCAGCCCAGCCCAGTTCACCAGCCCAGGGTTGATTGCTGTGATCCTGAGCTGCGTCTGGACAGGTCATGCTTGGCTTTCCAGAACAGAGCAGAGTCCTGATTCTTGTCCAAAGAACACATTAGCCATCTTGCAATTTCTATCAGGATTGGCAGTCTCTCATGAAAGCTGGGATGGGACAGACGGGAGAGGTGCTGGGATCGTGCCTGTCCACAGGTCCCAGGTCCTTCCCACACATACCACCAGCTCTTGGGATTTGGGGGCTGGGTCCAGCAAGTTCTGCAAAAACGAGGAGCAGGTGTGGGAAGTGCACAGCCCCAGTGCTGGGCAGAAGGTGAGGGCAGAGGAGTGGGAGTGTCTTCCCGGTGCCTCCTCTGAACAACCCTTTGAACATTCATTTGTCTCTATCAGGAATAGAACTAAAACCTTATCTGCTAACAGTGCCTGGCACATAGCAAGGCCTCAAAAATGTTAGTTCTCTTCTTCTCATATCTTATCAGTTAGCACAGACAGCCATTCATTGACACCGATCCAAAAATAAGAATGAGATAAAGAATAAGTACTCAGAGAGCCAGGAAATACATGCAGGACACACGGGAGAGATACCAGGGCAAAGGAAATGGAGTTCGATAGGAAAGAGGACAAAAATCTGCAGAACGAAGAGGACCAAGAACAATTTAACAGGTTCATGACTTTGCCTACGCTGAGCCGTGGCTAAACCACCTTTGCCAAAGGTCTAACCTTTGACGGATAACCCTTCAATGATATGAAGTGTTCTCAATGGGGTGATCCCCAACGGGACACCAAACATGGCCTCTGAGGACACAAGCTTTGAGAATCTGCTCTCAGCCTGGAGCAGCTGCTGGGCAGGAAAAAAGGATGCCCAGTGTTTCCCAAGTGTGGAACTTCAGCTTAAGTCAGGATCTCTGTGGGAAGAGCCTGGGAATCCACATTTATAGCAAGAACCCCCGCTAGTTCTTATGATCAGGCCAGGCAGGAAAATTCTAGGTATTAAGATGTCATTTCTCATGGTGTTGGAACACCTGCATCAGAAGCCCCTTGGGAATGCATTAGACCAATTGCAGATTCCCGGGCCCTATCCTGGATCCAGAGAGTCAGAATGACAAGATTAGGGTCCTGGAATTCGCATTCTTTTTTTGAGATGGAGTCTCACTCTGTTGCCCAGGCTGGAGTGCAGTGAGCGATCTCTGCTCGGTGCAACCTCTGCCTTCTGGGTTCGAGTGATCCTCCTTCTTAGCCTCCTGAGTAGCTGGGATTGCAGGGGCACACCACCACGCCCAGCTAAGTATTGTATTTTTAGTAGAGAGAAGGTTTCACCTTGTTGGCCAGGCTCTGACCTCAGGTGACTCGCCTGCCTTGGCCTCCCAAAGTGCTGGCATGAGCCACCATGTCTGGCCTGGAACCTGCATTTTAAAAAATGGTTTCTAGGTGATTCTGGCGTGCCCTACAGTTTGAGAACCATGGAAGCTCAGCATGATGGCAAAGAGCATGGGCTCCGGGGCCACAGTCCCCAGGTTCAAAGCCTTATTTCACCGTTCACCAACTATGGGACCTTAGGTAGGTTATTTGATGTTTCTCTATATCTCAGTTTACCTATCTGTAAAATGAACATAACAATATTTACTTATAATAATTTTACATTTTGATATATAATTCTACGTATATTAATGTATAAATGTAATTATATATTACAATATATTTAATAGATATAGTTGCCACACATAATGTGTGGCAAGCACTTGGCACGGGCCTTAGAACACTAGCATACCCACTAATTGTCATCTATTATAATCCAAAAGCCAGACTCCTCTGTCCCTCTTTCCTCCAAACTCCTACTGTGTTTTCTTGGTACCTCTTTCTTGGTACAGCCTTGGGTAGAGTCTGTCTGTGGCAGGGTTACTTATGTGCACACCTACCTCCCCTGCTAGACTGACACTGGACAGCCAGAGGACGGAGATCAATGCCTTTTTTTTTAGATGGAGTTTCGATCTGTCACCCAGGCTAGAGTGCAGTGGCATCATCTCAGCTCACCACAACCTCCACCTCCCAGGTTCAAGTGATTCTCCTGCTTTAGCCTCCCAAGTAGCTGGGATTACAGGCACGTGCCACCACGCCTGACTAAATTGTATCATTTTTTTTTAAACATCAGCTCCCCCTCCTCTTTGTAAGACTTTGTATCATGTTCATTAGAGTTGGAAGAGCCTTAGCAATCACCTAATCCAGCCCCTCACTTTGCAGACGAGGAGACTGAGCGTATCACGACAGCCAACAATTGAACCTGGGGTTGATGCCTGCGCTGCCACCTTTCAGATATGCCATTTGAGCCCCAACTCTTCATCTTAAAAATGGGTATAATAATGTACACTTGCCTACGTACTAAGCAGGTGCCTTGTGAGTAATACTGACGAGGAACTCTTTGGCACCCTGCAAGGTATCATTACTATTGCTGCACGGTGTTGACTCTGCCTCCATAAATGTTCATTGAACCTTAGTGGTGCGGGGCAAATTATCCAAGGATGCCAGAATAATTGCAGGGGCTACTACTCAGCTGCGAGGTTGACAAAGGAGAGAGCCAGTCGTGTTGTTCATAAGATGGCTTTTGGAGCCCTCATCATTCAGTCCAGAGCCTACTACTTTCAGACCCCACTTTCAGCTTTAACGCCTTTTAAACACTTTTTTTTTTTTTTGAGATGGAATTTCACTCTTGTCACCTGGGCTGGAGTGCAATGGTGTGATTTCAGCTCACTGCAACCTCCGCCTCCTGGGTTCAAGCGATTCTCATGCCTCAGCCTCCTTAGTTGCTGGGATTACAGGCACCTGCCACTACACGCAGCTAATTTTTGTATTTTTAATAGAGACAGGGTTTCATCGTGTTGGTCAGGCTGGTCTAAACTCCTGACCTCAGGTGATCTGCCAGCCTCAACCTCCCAAAGTGCTGGGGTTACAGGTGTGAGCCACTGTGCTTGGCCCCTTTTAACTTTTTCCTTCAGCCTCTGGTCCATTACTGTCTCTTCTTACTCATGGCCTAACCTTACTTTCCTCCTGCCAACTGGACTATCTTCTAAGTGATCTGACTCATCTCCATGGCCCTGGCCCTGGTGGATCGAATGTTGAATATTATCATAAATCACAGTTCCCACCCTCTTATGGTCTTAGTTCTTGGACAAGAGGCTCCAGAAAGCAGGAAGCTCATCTAAGGTGTCCTCCAAGTTCTTTCCCAACAACTGAGCAGCCAAAACTGACCCCTGTCCCCTCATGGCCTTACCGTCATGGTTGGCATTTCCTAGAGTCCATGGCTCATCGGAGTCAAAGTGGGTGTCTCCTCCAATCCCAGGGCCAGGGAAGTAGGCATGGGCCAG